GCGGGGAATCAAACCCGGTTCTCCAGATTAGAGCCTGCCACTTTTAACCACTACACCAAACTGATTCAAACCTCCTAAGTCCTAGTTTTGATGCTTTACCCTCTGCAGCGTACGCTCCTTGCCGTACACTCCTTAATCCAGGCAGGTTCCCCAGCTGGGGGCCCAATTCCCAACTCTCTCCAAGGGTTATTCCACACTTTGCTCGTCAGACAGCTTTCCTGCAGTGTTCCCTGCCAAGTGACCCCCCCCACACACACACACAAATAAACTTGCATGGCAGACCTATTCCAGCCTGCCTTTTGAAGAGGCATGAGCCTTCCTCTAGATACTCCAGTGCAAACTGCGGCACAAAAAGAAATGCAGCAGGGGAACTTCCGCGGCCATTTCTGAGGGTCTCTGGAGAATTGCTTCACACAGCAGCACCTAGAGGACATCACCACATTTCGATCTTTTGCTAGAGCTTTTGAAATACGCACTTGTGGGTTAGTGGTGCCCTGACCTGGACAGCTCAGACTAGCCTAATCTCATCAGATCTCGGAGGCTGAGCGGGGTCTGCCCCAGGTGGGACTTGGATGGGAGACCCCCAAGGAAATCCAGGGTTGCTATGCAGAGGAAGGCAAAGGCAAACCATCTTTTGAGAGCCAGTTTGGTGTCGTGGTTAGGAGCCCGGACTTTAATCTGGGAGCACCAGGTTGGATTCTCCACTTCTCCACATGCAGCTGCTGGTGTGACCTTGGGCCAGTCACACGTTCTCTCAAGAGCAGTTCTCTCACGAGCAGTCCTCGAGAGAGCTCTCTCAGCCCCATCTACATCACAGCCTGTCACAGGGTGTCTGTTGTGGGGAGGGGGAAAGGAGATTGTAAGCCGCTCTGAGACTCCTTCAGGTAGTGAAGGGCAAGGAATAAATCCAGTCTCTTCTTCTTCTTGTCTTGAAAACCCTAGGGGGGTTTGCCATAATTCAGCTCCTTCCGTTACCAGGTTGGTTGCAGAGTGATCAGTGAACCAGGCTACTCCTATAATGCCTCCATATAGCCCGACTTCCATCTCCTGCTTTTGTTACTTGCATGAGCTGCACCCAAAATAAGGATTTCTTGGTTATTTTTACAACTTTTCAGATTCAAACTATGTGGCTTCCATTCCCATGCTGCCACCTGGTGGCCATACACAGAAATGTTTACCTGAAGGATCATCTAAAAACAAACAAAAAAATTGTGGCATGTTAAAGACTTATAACACAGAAACATACAGCTGGAAGGTACTTCCAAGGGTCATCTAGTCCAACCTCCTTCACAATGCAGGAAATTCACAGCTACCTTCTCCACACACACACACACACACACTCTCCCAGTGAATCCTGCTCTATGCCCAGAGGAAGGCAAAAACCCCAGGATTCCTGGGAAAATCTCGCCTGGGGGAAAATTCCTTTCTGACTCCAATGTGGCAATTGACATTTCCCTGGGCATGTAGGAAAGGACCACAAGAGCCAAGCGCCGGCTCATCTCTTCCTGCCAGTTTGGTGCAGTGGTTAAGAGTGCAGACTCTGATCTGGGAGAACCAGGTTTGATTCCCCACTCCTCTACATGCAGCTGCCGGTGTGACCTTGGGTCAGTCACAAGTTCTTTCAGAGCTGTTCTCTCAAGGGCAGTCCTCAAGAGAGCTTTCTCAGCCCCACCTACCTCACAGGGTGTCTGTTGTGGGGAGAGGAAGGGAAAGGAGATTGTAAGGTGCTCTGAGGCTCCTTCCGGTAGTGAAGGGCCAGGGTAGAAATCCCTCCTCCTCCTCCTCCTCCTCCCCCCATCTGCCTGAAGGGCTCAAGGAGACATCCACCTCTCTCTCCATTTAACATTATACTCCAGATGGGCTGTGTGAACTAGAGCGTACTTCTTCAGACGCAATGAGTGGGCTCTAATTGTGTTGTCACTTTATGCCAGAGGGTTGGAAGAGAAAACCAACAGACGCCAGGGTCGAAGGGCCAGGAAAGACAGGCCGAAATGCGATTCTCCCACCCACCCCCTTACCTTGACTGACAATCAGCATGCCGCCACTCTGCAAAAGATCTCCGCTGAAGTTGCCGTGAACGCCCTCCGCGTTTGCCTGGAAAAGGAGCAGAGACTTCTGTTGGGGGCAAAGTCTAAGGACCACCCTTAGGCTCAGGGAAGGGCCATTAATGGAACACCCGCAGAAGGTGAACACACGCAATCGCCTTATCCTGGATCAGAGTACCGGCCCATCAAGGTCAGCATTGTCTACTCAGACTGGGGTCTCAGGTCGAGGTCTTGCCCATCATCTACGACTTGGGGGGGGGGGTTATGCCAGAGATGCTGGGGATTGAACCTGGGACCTTCTGCATGCCAGGCAACCAGTGGTGGTCTGCAGACTTTCACCTGCTAGGAATACCATGAATTCATTCAAACGGCATCCTTGTTTCTTCCTGTCTCACCTTGCTGACGACTTCTCGAACGGGCTTCCCCAGTGCAGCAGGAACTATGCTTAAGGCGTTATACCTGGAAGAAAGAGGGCAAGATCAGGAGGCCCATCATAAAAGACGCCAGCATTCTAGAATGGACGGCCACAGTGTCACTCTAGTCCAGGGGTCCACAACGTGGTGCCCACCATCCATTTTCCCGGTGCCCACCTACTGTTTTGAGAAAGTGGGTGGGGCCAGGCAGAGCTTCTGATTGGCCGCACAGATTAAAACCACATGGTTTCAGCAACAGCTGCCACTGCAGAGAGCCAGTTTGGTGTAGTGGTTAGGAGTGCAGACTCTAATCTGGGAGAACCGGGTTTGATTCCCCACTCCTCCACTTGCAGCTGCTGGTGTGACCTTGGGTCATTCATAGAGATGTGAAGGCCCGGAAAAGGCCAGAACAATTCAGGAAACAAACGGGTTTTTTTCCTGAAGCCTTTTTTGTTTTTTTCCAAAAAATTGGAAAAATTGAAAAAAGAAAAGAAAAGGAAAAAAATGATTTTGGAACATTTTATTTTAACATGATGAATAAAAGATTTTAAGACAAGGTGTTCAAATATTTTCCAAATATTTTCTAAAAAAATATGTATGGTATCGGATTGATCTAATTTCTGTGCACTGAGGACAAGCAAGTCCTAGGTTACAAACTGAACTCTCCAATGCAAGATGCATTTCTTCCTTTAGGAGGTGCTATTGTCACAAGAAAAGAAAAAGGTTTCAGTTTTGTTTTTGCATGTGGGTGGGTATTCTGTTCGTAATAATTGTTTGGATACACTATATTTTTAATATGCTAGTTGTGATAATTTCATGCCAGGTAAAAATGCCCATAGTCATATTTTAAGTTCCTGAAGTAACAGAATGACTTTCAATCTGGAAAAGAAAAAAGAAGTGCTAATGTAGCATTTTTTTCCATTTTTCCGAAAATTCCCGTTTCCCCCCCCAAAAAAAACCCGTTTTTTTTCCCGAGCTTCAAAATTTCTGGAAATGTTACATCTCTATTCATAAGTTCTTTCAGAGCTGTTCTCTCAAGGGCAGTTTCTGTCAGAGCTCTCTCAGCCCCACCCACCTCCCAGGGTGTCTGTTGTGGGGAGGGGAAGGGAGTTTGTAAGCCACTCCTTCAGGTAGTGAAGGGCGGGGTATAAATCCAATCTCCTCTCCTTCTCTGTCACTCCTTTTTTCCAGTATATTTTTTTAAAAAAAATCACCCCTCTTCTCTTCTGCCCTTGGACTCCTCCTGCATATGAAGTTCTACCTCCTGCAGCGGCCATTTTATTGTTCTGCCCACCCCCCACCCCCTGTGTCAGAATCCCAAAGGTGGCCACAGGCTCAAAAAGGTTGGGGACCCCTGCTCGCGTCGGTTTCAGGGGACAGCCCTGTTGGTCTGCCGCAGAACAGCTCAATTCAAGTTCAGTAGCCCCTCAGAGACCAACAAGATTTTTGGCGTGGAAGCGTTTGCGAGTCAAAGCCCCCTTCTTCAGATGTCTCACAGCTGGGGGGAGACTCTTCTGGATGGTTTACCTCCAAGGGGAGCGGCCAGAATCTAGAGCCCCACAGCAGCCACGGCCACGGCCACACCCCATGCTTCCCAGTCCATCCACAGGGCCATCCGGAGCAGCGTTATGCCCCTCGGGGTCTGCTGAAGGGGAGAGCTCTGGCCGGGATGGCACCCTCAGGCTGCGAAGCTAAGCACGCATCTGGGCCGCGGGCCTCAGAAGCCGGCAAGGGGAGTGGAGGCACCTGTTGCCACTCCCCACTCCGAACACCTCCACAAGAGCCGTTCCATAACTGGAGCAGGCCGCGCACCAACCTTTTGAAGCCAAGATCGCCGTAGCACTGTTTGGTCTCATCCAGGTAGAGTTCTGCAAAGGGAAGGAAGAGGAAGACCCTTAAGAGACGTAGCCGCCTCATCCGGCCAACGTTGTTCGACGCCAAACATTAGGCAGGGGTTACAATGACTTGAAACAAGGGTTTCCTGAAGCAGAACCCATCCGGTTGGATCCGGTTGCCAGCTTCCTTCACCACTCCTAATTACAATAGAATTACTGCAAACCGTGCAAATATTATAGAATCCAATATAACATGCAGTCAAAATGTAATCAGTCCATTGTTTAAATCTCTTTTCAACAGTGAAGACGTCAAAGATGAAAAGTGAAGACGTCAATGAAGAAGGAATGGACAAACTTCCCCGGAGTTACCACTCGTTTCGAATTTTCTTTTTCATACATAAGATCTCAGCTCTGCATCCGCATAATCACAAGGTTTCCAAATTGGACTCTTTCTAGTTCCTAAATACTTCAAAAGTAGTTCACATCGGGCTCTTAGCCAATATATCTAACTCGGGCTGATCGATATATTGGCTAAGAGCCCGATGTGAACTACTTTTGAAGTATTTAGGAACTAGAAAGAGTCCAATTTGGAAACCTTGTGATTATGCGGATGCAGAGCTGAGATCTTATGTATGAAAAAGAAAATTCGAAACAAGTGGTAACTCCGGGGAAGTTCGTCCATTCTTTCTTCATTGACGTCTTTTCATCTTTGATGTCTTCACTGTTGAAAAGAGATTTAAACAATGGACTGATTACATTTTGACTGCATGTTATATTGGATTCTATAATATTTGCACGGTTTGCAGTAATTCTATTGTAATTATTATTGTCATACTGCTACCCCCCCCCCTATCTATTGTATTGTCCTTCATCACTCCAGCAGGGGGACTTGGGGGGCATCCCGAGACGTCCCCAATGTGGTGATGCCACCTGGAAATGACAGCATCACACTGGGGACGTCACGCAAGGACGCTCTGATTTGAGGGCAAAACTGGATTAGAACCATAGAGTTTTGCCCTCAAACCAGAGCATCCTGTGCGATGTCCGCAGTGTGATGATGTCATTTCCGGGTGACGTCATCACATCAGGGAAGTCACGCAGGGATGTGGCTGTTTGGGGGCGAGCTTCCCCCCTGGCCAGCAGGGGCCTGAAGCCCTGGAAACCAGGAGAACCCCTGCCTCAACCTGGAGACTGGCAAGCCTACACAGGTTTGAATTTTAGTTCAATCACCTCACATTGTTCCTCGAGTCCACCACTCCTACCCTGAGGGGCATAATTTTGGTGAACATGGCCAGACGCAGGAGGAGGGAGAGGTCAGAAAGGGAACAAGGGCTGGGACCAGGATGTCTGAAGGACTGTCTTCTCCCATACTTTCCTGCCCAGGAATTAAGATCACACGGAGAAGGCCTCCTGACTGTCCCGCCAATCAAAGAAGCTCATCTGGTCAGAACACGAGAGAGGGCCTTTTCGGTGATGGCCTCACAATTCTGGACAACTTCCCCATGGAGGTGTGCCTGGCCCCTTCACTGTCGATCCTCAGGAGGCAGTCGAAGATAGTTTTTAGTTTTTATTTATCAACGGTCCTGACTGCAGTTTTTAAATTGTGACCTTTAATGTGTTTTCTAAAGTGTCGCTTTATTTATATTGTTTTTATCTGGTTTTCATAATAGTTTTCTTTATATGGCAAGCCGCCTTGGGTTCTGCAAGGGAGAAAAGGCAGGTAATCAATGTTTTAAATAAATAAAAATCAGTACGTAAACCCTGCTACTTGGGGCCTAACTCCACAGTGTTGGCACGGAGGCTTCCTTCAAAGTGTCCCTTTCACCACCTTCAGACTTAACCCTTTCTCTGTGCGTGTGTTCACAGCACAGGCTGACAAAGGCCAATCCATGGCATGCAAAGCAGGCCTTCGTTTGAGCCACAGAAGCGAGTTCACACTGAAGTGGTAAGCTGGATCTGGCCTTTATCCCTTCAGTCTGCAGCTACAGGCTTGCACGACGGCAGGAATCTCCGTTGTGAAAAAAATCCCTGACCTGGTGGGTCCGATCTGTCAGGTCTTGGAAGCAAAGCAGGGTCAACTCTGTTTTGTACTTGGACGGGAGACCTCCAAGGAAGCTGGAAGTGAAGGACTTTGCGCTGTCTTTTAGCCTCAGACTTCAGAGTGGGTTTATAAGAGAGTCAGAGAGATCGAGAGGCTAGGACACTGACTATCCTTTCCTTTACTCTCTGATACTATCGCTACTCTCAGGGAATCTCCCTTCCTTCTGACACCTTCTTTCCACACTCTGCTTTCCTTCTCCATCTGAGCACCATGTCAGGACGTACCTTCTGCATCTCCATCCATCCTAGCTAGTTAGATTAGAATCCTATCTCTTTTCTATCCTGTCTAGAATGGAGTTCCTTACAATAAAGGACTCATATTAGCTTTTGCAAAGATAAAGAGGCTCCGTAGGTAACTTTGTTTCTTTTCAGCGCACACTAACCAGATTGGCTCTGCTGCATTATGTGCCTTGATCACTCTGCTACTCAAATAATCCTTCAAAGAAAGACCACAGAGGCAGGCAATGGCAAACCACCTCTGAAAACATCTTGCCTTGAAAACCCTACAGGATGGCCATGTCAGCTGTGACCTGACAGCACTTTAAAGGTAAAGGTTTCCCTTGCTCGAAAGCCAGTCAAATCCGACGCTAGGGGGCGGTGCTCATCACCGTTTCCAAGCCGAAGAGCCAGCGCTGTCTGAAGACTTCTCCGTGATCATGTGGCCAGCATGACTAGACACCGAGGCGCACGGAACGCTGTCACCTTCCCACCGAGGTGGTACCTATTTATCTACTTGCAATTTCTTGCTTTCGAACGGCTAGGTTTGGCAGGAGCTGGGGCCAGAGACGGGAGCTCACTCCGTCACACAGCACTTGGGTCTCAAACTGCTGAACTACAGACCTTCCGGTCTGCAGCTCAGCGTCTTACACACACAGAGAAACCAAGCACCCCAGGGAAGAAGAGTCCAAGCCTAGCACACTTCTTCAGACGTCGCTTTTTTAGAAATGTATTTCTTGCCATCATTTATAATCTGCCCTTCTTGCAGAGACACGAGGTAGATTACAGGACGACAAGACAACGCAATGAGAACAGTATTAAGACCAACAGTGCAAAACCAAGACACGGGACGACATATACTTGCGCACGGAGCTTACCTCCTTTGAAGTAGTTCCCATCCAGGAAGTCCTTGAGACCCACACTTTCTGGCGCAATGGCGACTAAGCGGACCCCGTGGCTCTCCAACGGTTCTTTCAGCTTGCTGGCTTCCTTTGCAATCCAGCGGCATACCTGGCAGCCAAAGCGGCGCAGGAACAGCACCACGCAGGGCTGGTCCTTCCACAAGCTCCTCAGCTCCACCACCTGCCAACCAACCACACAAGATCACACCACAAGACAGAGGTGCTGCCCTCCGGAAGGGGGCAAGACTGTCCCACC